ACAAGAATATAACGACTATTTCGGCGACAAATACTCGCCCCGAGAGGTATACGTCCGGAGCTCTATAACCGATCGGTGCATCGAAAGCACGTCTAGTCTATTGGCCGGCGTTTATCCGCCCAAAACCCAGGACTGGATTTGGGATATCGGAGGCGACGCTAAGTTGGGTCATGACTGGCAACCCATCCCTATTCAGACATTTATGCCACACGTCGACGATCTGGTCTGCAATGAAGTATGTAGTGTACATTAGAAGCTTTATTATATTTAAAATTATTTATACAGTATACCTAATATGTATCTCACCCTTAAGGGCAAGCCATGCGCTGCTGTGACCCGAGAGATGACCAAAATCTATAACCGTCCAGAATTAAAAAAGTTTGTAGAAAAATACAAACACTTGTATCAAAATGTGAGCAAAATTGTGGGCAAAGAGATTAAGTCTATAAGAGGTGCTGGAAGTCTATACGGTATACTGAAGATCGAGACTCAACACAACTACTGGTGGACTAATTGGACTAAAGAGGAAGAAAAGCTCGCTGTCGGTCAACTGTGGCACTCGTTTCAGACACAATATCAAAACGATTGGGACAGTCCTATCATTCGGAGGCTAAGGGCCGGCGGTTTAGTGAAAGAATTGAACACCAATTATGAAAACACTGTCCATAAGAAGTCAGACAAGAAGTTATACGTGTATTCAACGCACGATAGCGTTGTCTACCCTCTTATGGATGCTTTGGGTATAAGCAATGGAAATCCGCCCCCATTTGGGGCGACCCTTCTCTTAGAATTGCACCAAAACAACAAAACTAACGACTATTTCGTCAGAGCTTTCTATCAAAACGAGACCACAATTAATGAAGGGATCCCTCATTCCCTCCAATGGCGCGGATGTCAAACGTTGACAGACTGTCCGTTCACTCAATATATTAATTCAACACAACATTTGATTTACAAAGACTTTGATAAGGAATGCGAAGAAACAGGCGATGAATTATAAATGTGTCAGAACATGAAATATATTTTAGTTTACATTTCATTTCAAACAACTTTTAGTTAAACAGTTTATGGCTTCACTATTGTTGAGCCCATACATAGGGTTAGGACTGATTGTCGCCCAGAATCAAAGGATAGCCACCCTTTTATGACCACCTCTTAGGTTAGGTTTGAGACCCAGAACTCTGGTATCACTGCTCAGACCACTCACTCTCTCCCTCTCCACTCACGGCACAAGTTGTGCAAAAACTCTGTATTTTCACCACAAGTTTTGTCTCTAATATTTTTGAATAAAATAAGTTTTGATTTAAAGTAAAGTTTTGTTTTAATTAATAAATACTATTTCACAATAATAGAAAAGAACCCTGATACCCATAATTATCAGCCCTCACCACTCGCCGCATGACAAATGTGCTAAAAATTATTAGTAAAATGAAAAAATTGACTTTCATTATATATTCAATCCTTAAATACCGACCAGTTTTAAACATTAACTCTCTGTCTCTCTCTCTCTCTCTCCATTCATTTTACCTAAATTTAAAACATTTTTAATTTTAAACGAAATATTAAAAATATAGATCAATTGTCATGTTTATGATATATTAAAGTAATATAAATACCATGATTTTATCACAATCTATTTATGCATTTAAATTGTCTTATAAATGTTGCATCAGTTCTCTTGCAATAAAAAAGCTAAAGCATTATTATGCAACAGGATAATATAAAC